CTCCCTCTTGAGATGGTTCGTCAATTTGGATGACGCCATAAGGGCGCGTCGCATCGACGACGGGGATATGCAAGTTTCATTTGCCCAGTCAAATCTGGCAGGACGTGACAAGACTTGGGCACTGGGGCTCAAGCTGCACGACCCATACGCGTTTGGGTCGTTGGAAGTCTTCAAGTCGCGGCTCAGACAAACGTTTGAACCGCCTAGAGCTGAGTTCAGAGCTCGAACCGAACTCTTGAAGCTCAAGCAGGGTAAGCGTGATGTGCACGCTTACGCTCAACATATACGACATCTCACGAGTTGTATAAGTTCCAATCCGGTGGATGAACACACGTTGGTTTCGGTGTTCATGCAGGGTCTTGCGGATGGTCCCGTCAAGACTCACCTGTTCCGGCTTGAACTAGATTCACTAGAACAAGCCATTTCCATTGCGGATCAGGAAGAATTCAGTCTGAGACAGGCTCGCGCCAGCTCGACATCATATCGTCAACCGAGACGATATGACAACGGAGGTCCAGAGCCGATGGAACTCTGTTATGTAGAGAGCGAGAAGGCTCGCTCTACAGGCTACAAGAAGTTGCAGAGATGCAACAGATGTCAAAAGACAGGACACTACGCTTACGAGTGTAGTGCCCCTCGTCCAGTGTCTCGCGACACTGGGCGTAGTGACCGTCCACCCATGAGAAAGGGGCAGGGACGAGGGTCCGCAGTTGGTGCAAAGACGCAACAACGGGATGGACCGTCAAAAAACGGACAGGATCAGTAGGTGCGGAGCACCCTACTGATCCAGCAACGTCAAGAGAATTTGTAGGCCTCTTGATGAAGGTTGCTCCTAACACACAAACGTTGTGCGTTGCTGCTCTAGGTAATGAGATCTCACTCATTACCTTGAAACTCGAAGTGACGAATAAGTTGTCCCTTCGAGCTCTAGTCGATTGTGGGGCGTCCAACAATTTTGTGCGACGCCAATTGCTAGAAGATGGTCACTTTAAATTCAGTGAATGTGACACACCTCCTACGAGGATGACGGTACGTCTTGCGACAGGCGCATCCGTAACCGTCATGAAGCGTATAGTGAAGATTCACTATACGCTAGAAGATACCCAATACGACGATGACTTTATCGTATTGGATTTGGATGACAAATTTGATGTCATCCTTGGAATACTGTGGCTCAGAAGGCACGAAGCACGAGTAAACTGGCAACATCGAACAGTAACGATGCCTGCCGCTTGTTCATCAGATGGCCATCTGATGAACGTTTTGGAGCGTCCACAAGCGTGTAGATGTACTACGAGTGAGTGCGATGGCCTCACTTGTGGTACGGTCATTAGTACGACTGCACGAAACCTTAGTGTAACAAACGGTTACACTTCGGAGCAAAGTTCCGGCGGCTGTGACGAAACACAGGCTGCGCCGAAGGTCCACCACTCGAATAAGTCGGGTGGACTGGGACAAAGATGTATCCCTAGAGGGGAACATCTAGAAGATAAACAATCGATCGCTCAGGTTAAGCGAAACGATAATCCTAGATCGACTGAAGAGTCTTTCGTAGAGGATCTCGCTGTGGTTGCGCAACCCCAGCTAGAGGAAGTAAAGGGAATAAGTCCCAAGATTACAAATACGGCGGAAATAAGTTCCCCGAAACCCGCGGGAATAAGTCCCCGGGAAGACGAAGGAATAAGTCCTTCGAAGCCTGAGGGAATAAGTCCCCAGGAAATGACAGAGACATTGAATGTCATAGTCAATAACGGATCATGTGTAGGCGCTTATACACTTGATCTGATTGCGCCTCCGAAGTTAACTTCGGAGATCACTCAGTTGCCAACGCTCGAACATAAAAGATTCTTGCGTGATCTGCATAGTGGCAAAGTCAAGCAGATCTGCATACTCGTCGCTGAAGACGAGTATGTAACCGACATAAGGTCAGCAACAGTGTTTACTGAGAACGAGAGAGTTCTCAGTAGTTCATCTATGGACGAGAGTGTCCTAGATGAAAAGACACGAATTGAGCGATATGACTCCCAATCATGGGAATCGCTCAAGGAAAATCCTCTCTATGAAGATTTGGTTGAATTCAAGGATGTATTCCCTGAAACTGTTCCGTGCGAATTACCGAAGGATAAAGGTATTCGACACGAAGTCGAGCTTAAACCAGGCTCGAAGTACTGTGTCATGAAGCAGTGGCCACTGCCTCGTGAACAAGTACTTGCGATCGACAAGTTCTTTGCCGATCGTTTAGCAGCGGGCCATGTGAGGGAATCAACTTCCCCACATAGCTCTCCGACCTTCTGTGTGCGAAAAGCAACAGGAGGGTGGCGGATAGTGCACGCGTTTAACAAATTGAACGCTGCAACGGTACCGGCTCAGACGCCGATACCGAGGAAGGACGTAATCATTGATGGTATGTCAAAGAGTACCATCTTTTCGTCCATGGATTTGATAAATGGCTTCTATCAAATCCTAATGCGGGAACGGGATATACCCTATACCGCAGTTAGCACGCCTAGCGGCATGCTCTGGGAATGGCTAGTAATGCCACAAGGGCTCAGTAATGCCCCTGCCACGTTCAACAGGTGTGTATCACATCTGTTGAGGCCAGTACGAGAATTCGCGCCGAGTTATTTCGATGACGTATTCATCCATAGTCGAGCTATGGATGGAAAGTCGGACGTTGAGGTTCACAAGTACCACGTCCGACAAGTTCTTACAATCATGCGAAAGCATCAATTGTATGCAAACCTCAAGAAGTGTATATTTGCAGCAAGCGAAATACCACTTCTTGGGTGCATCGTTGGTAAGAACGGTGTACGTCCTGATCCCGAAAAGATCAAGGGGATCACCGACTGGCCCGTGCCGGTCGATGTCAAAGGTCTTCGAAAATTCCTTGGGCTAGTGGCGTATTTGCATAAGTATTCACGCAATTACGCCGAGATGACTGTACACACCTCTCTCGTTTGTTGAAAAAGAACGAGAGGTGGTTATGGAACGCTGAATGTCAACGCTCCTTTGAGGGTATCAAGCAGAGCTTGATACAATCCCCAGTCCTAGCAATAGCCGATCAGGACAGGCCATTTCATGTGGTCTGTGATGCCAGCGATTTCGCAATCGGCTGTGCATTAATGCAGTACGACCTTGAAGGCGTTGAACGCGTCGTCTGCTATCAGTCGCGTCAGCTGCAACCAGCTGAGCGGAACTATCCAGTGCATGACAAGGAACTCCTTGCCATGAAGTATGCACTCGCGAAGTTCAGAGTCTATCTAATAGGAGATAGACCCTTCGTTGTTTACACTGACCATGCGTCCTTACGCACGGCAGTGAACAGCCCGCACCTTTCACAACGAATGGCGCGGTGGTTGTCATTCTTTGCAGAATACAACTTTACGGTCGAGTACAAACCAGGACGACTTAATGTCGTCGCTGATGCGCTCTCACGTCGTCCCGACTTTGAAACAGTCGTGAAACCCAACAGTGAGACAGTCACTGTTGCGGTTATGACGTCCTCAGTTCCATCTACAACGTTGTATGATGATGTGAGGTGGGCATACGCCCAAGATGGTGAGATAGTGAAGTTGTTGACACATCTTTCACAGCCATCTCGAGAATCGTTGAAACGATTGTCGTCTGCGTATCGATCTGCATCAGATCGATACACTACTCGTAACGGTTTACTGTACTATACAGCCGTTTCTGGTGACACACCACGTGTTGTCATTCCAGATGATATTGATCTGCATTTGCGGATCATGTTCGAGTATCACGATGCTCCTATAGGAGGACATCGTGGCCGAGAGAAAACATATCTCACGGTAAGTCGAGACTTTTACTGGCCCCGCCAGTATCAGTTTGTGCGAAAGTATGTTCGCGCATGCGAAGTCTGCCAACGAGTGAAGTCAAGTCCTTCACTGCGTGCATCTTTACAGCCTCTACCGGTTCCGGCTGAGTGCTGGGAATCCATCTCAATGGATTTTGTCTTCGGGTTACCCAAAGACGCACGCGGGAATACGGGTATTCTCGTATTTGTTGACAGATTCAGCAAAATGGTACACCTTGTGGCTGTACCAGAGACAATCACGGCAAGTGGCTGTGCTTGTGTCTTTATTGACACCATCTTCCGACTTCATGGGTTGCCCCGTGAACTCGTATCAGACAGAGATCCACGATTCACTGCTGATTTCTGGCGTTCCGTGTTCAAATCACTCGGAACGCGCTTGAAGATGTCAACATCTGATCATCCAGAGTCAGATGGTCAGACGGAACGTGCCAATCGTGTCCTTGAAGAGATACTTCGAGGATACGTACACTCCTTTAAGAGTTGGAGTGAGTTTTTGCCGATGGTAGAGTTTGCCATCAACAACTCGGTGCATGCGTCCACGACACATACACCGTTTTACGTGAATGGCTTGCGCCATCCGCGTGTACCCACCTTACTAGAGTGTAACTCTGGTTTAAGGGGGGAGGGACTCGCGCGAGCAAAAACCGATTTGGTTCACGCTCATCACGCTCTGACGAAGAAGTCATTGCGTTTGATGCCGATATCGATAACATCGATATCGAAGAAGATGATGCCAGTGAGAGTGCGGAAGCCCTCACTGAAGACAATGATCCCAGTGAGAGTGCGGAAGCCCTCACTGAAGAAAAGATTGTTGTCGCTGCAGTGCGCTCACAGCACACTGAAGCTAACGAGTCATCAGATGAGTTCATACTGGCTCGTGAAACGGTAGTCCGTTTTGTGCAAGACTCCATCGCCGAAGCGGTGGATAAGCAAAAGCAAAACGCTGACAAGAATGGAAGGGCAAACACTCTTTTATTTAATAAAGGTGACTTAGTCCTACTGTCTACGGTTAATCTACCAAAACATGTAGTGACTAACTTGGGTAGCAGTAAACTACTACCCAAGTACATTGGCCCATTTCGTGTATTGCACCGCCTAGGCAATGCATACACGATCGAGTTACCACGTAAGATGCGAACGCATCCCACGTTTTACGTTGGTCGGCTTAAGCCGTACCATCAGTACGCTGCTTCTTCCGATGAAGAACGCCCTTGCGCTCAAGCATCTCGCAGAGAGCCTTGTGCTCCCGATGGTGGGCATCAACAAGGGTCTGAAGAGCAGTTATCTCAGCCCGAGACCGATCAACAATCCCACGAGCTACCCTTAGCTCGTCACGAAGAGATGTCAGAGATCTCTCGTTCTCAAGCTGAGCAAAGGCAAACTCAGCTCGATGCTTCGAGGCAGTGTCCACCATCTGGAGACGCCTATTCCGCTCATGCTCGAGATCGTCGCGTAACCCTTGCGTTACGCGATCAAAGAAGCTCTCGGGAACACACCGATCCACATGATCGTGTGGAGAGTGTCTTTCCTCCTCCTCCACCTCCATTAGAGGACTCTCGCGGTGGCCAGCGCTATCTAGTAGAGCAGCTGTTGAACCACCGCGACGTGAACGGACGTCGGATGAGTTACCTCGTCCGGTGGCGCGGTTATCCCTCGTCCTGGGATACTTGGGAGCCTCGCTCCCAATTGATGATTGACGTACTGAGTCTGATCAAGCAGTACGACGCGGCACATCCCGTGCCGCAGAAGGACCGCCGGAGAAAGTCTTCCTGGCACGGTCGTAAAGGGATTTCAGGTTGTCAATCCCTTCGTACATCTCAGTAGAGACACGTACGCGCCACCACGGGCTGGTAAGGAGGTAAGCCTCCTTAGGTTCTCGTGCAGAGTTGTTCACACAACATGGGCACGAGTCTCCCCAAGAGAGGCAGGGTAATCCTTTCTCCCTTGACAGACGATGCAGCTTGTAGCGTGCACCTGTCGGGGTTCGCTTTTCAAACTTATCACGAGCTTTGATAAGTTTGTCGTTCCAAGCGTCACGACCTACATCCTCGAGATTATGGATGTAGGCGTTCCACGGTTGAAGTAGTGAGGGACCATCACGTTTGTGATTCCCACTGTACCATCGATGTCTGAAGAAAGCATCGATGAAGAACTCATGTTCAGCGCGATAGTCTTTCGCGCTGGGGTCAAGGTGATGAATCCTCGACGAATCGAACAATCGTGTTCGATAACGATCACTCGTCGTCGCCGACAAGTGATCCATGACAGATTTAGGAGGCATCCATGCCTTCTTTTCTGGAGCGAGACGCAACACATTGCGGTCCCGCTTTTCCTGCGAAGTGCCGACAGAAGTACTGGCACCTCGCTGTGAAGTGGTGTCCATTGGAGAAACGACACCACTATTAGCGCCCGAGTCTCGCGACCTCGAGCGCCTTCGCTTCGGCGATGGTTCATCTGACTCATCAGATGAACCAAAGATGCTGCGACGCAAAGCATCGTCCATGCCACGCTTGGCAGGCGGCTTGGATTCAATTGCCGTCGATACGGATCCGTCATCCGTATCAGGAGAGTACGAGACACCGAGCTCGTACTCTGTGAAGACACGAGTGTCTTCATGACCAGCGCCTGCATCACCAGGTGATACAGGCTGAGTCGATTCAGCAACCGATGGGACATCAGTTGCTGTAGTTTCTGCTTCGGCGTCCGCACAGAGACGTGCAGACGCGCTCTCGGCGGCCTTGCTCGCGCATCGCATGGGCTTGTTTACCATGCGATGAGATGTTGGAAAGTGGACGCGGACCAACAAGTGCAAACCCCGTCCCAAATGATTTGGGACGAGTATCCATTTAGTCAATCAGTCACTAAAGTGACTGATGGTAAAGGGGGGTGATGTAACGGGGTGAATCGTTACATAACAATTTATAAGAAATTGTTAATAGAATATAACTATAAGAGTTATATTCTCAGAATATTGTCATAAGGACAATATTCTGTAGCACTTCCAAGTAGTTCCTAATTGGTTGATATAGGCCATTATATCAACCAACGAAGACGCGCCACGGCAGACGCACGCAATGAGTGGTGAGCAGATAACTGATTTACACATTTGTATTTAGACATAGTTAGATGAAGATAAATAGTGATTTATTGCAGACATTAACTATTATAAATACAGTTCTACTTTTTACTCTAACCGAGTACTCGCTTCTTCTTACCGTCTTCCTCTGCACGTACGAGTGTACGTGAAGTTACGAGGCACCGCCTTATTCTGTCATCAGAATAAGTAGCTTGTACTGTCACCAGTACAAGCTTCAGGGTGCCCCGTTACAAGAATTCCTTTTCTGCAGCGTTGTTGATGCGCGAAACCCCTTTACGTTGCTCCGTCTTCTTATGAAGGCAACTGCTCATTTACATCGTCATCCTCGCTGCAAAGTAAGATTTATCTGTCCCTTATGTACAAAAGGACCGAACAAGCAGTACGAAAAGTGCCATCACTCGCTCAGTGCACCACAAACGTCTTAAATTTACGATTTACGACTGTGACATTAAGGCAAACAATTCGGGATACCGTAAGGTGGGAAACACTTCACGTCGAGCTTACGCGGACGCTTCGCTGACCTGGCCAACCAATTTATTCTAGGTCTTGTAATGTGTACATCATGACGAACTTAGAAAAGAGTCAAATGCTCAATTCATCTCGTACCAAGCAAACATAATCCCTGCAACACATTGTAACCGTATTCGAAAAAAAAATCATTTTGCAGCACACAGTTTGGCTTCGCATTTGCTAAGTTGACGACAAATTTAACATTCTCGCGCGGACCTGAATGATGGGAGGCAGTACTGAGATGTCAATTTCAAAAAAAAATCTTTGTCGCTCCAGAGTCCAGTAGCACTCGCAGAGGTCGCCAGTCACCGGCGACATGCAAATTGATATTGATTAGACCTTATTTAACACTCGTGGTAGTGACATTTGACCGTGCACGCAGCACGGGGGGCTGGCAAGTTGCGCTTACACATTGGTCCCGATATTTAAAGAATGCGTAGGTCGCCTTTTCGGTTACTCGACGAATTTATTGCATCAATGTCATTTGGTACATCACAAAATCATCGAAACTGGTGACCACTAAAAGCTTGTTATAAGTAATGTAAGACTTGTTGACCAATAAGTACTCACGAAGGGCAATGGAAGATGCCTCCTACAACATAGCAGGCTTTGCACGCTTAAGTTATAAGCAGGTATACCCGGCACGCATACTATTTAACTTGTGTGTGATTTTCATGGGATGCGTGCTGTTACGAAATGATAGATGTCAAGCCATCTGCACTTGGTTGCAATTCGGCTAAATACCCTGTCCAATGGTTATAAATCTTGAGCGAATCATTTTTTTTGCTCTTGCAGCGAAAAAAGGGCAAGACGAAGATCATCATGGATGTT